AGGTGTCCAACAAAGTTAAGCTACATACGCAGCCACGTTTGCTGATAAGGCGTAGCTTATTTTATACCTAAGTACATGACCTCTGCATTGTGAAACTTGTCTCTATATGCTGTTTTATCAAGCTGTTATTTTTAAATAGATGGTTTATCAAGGTGTTCTTTAGAAGGAGGGAGAAATGGAGAGATAAAAGGGTAGCTCATACCCTCATTTACTGATAGAGGGGGCAGAGGGGTCTAAGTCATGTTTTGTATATAAACACACAAACAAGATTTAGACGCATTGAACCCTTTTCCCCCAGTTTCTAAAATGTGTATAGAACATTAATTTTGTAAAGGTTTTCTTTCAGCTTGATTAGCTTGTTTAAGGATGTTCAACATTTCTTACTTAGAATCAGTTAGATTTAAAACTAGTAAAAAATTCATACTGATTTTAGTATAAATACGGCATGAAGCTCTAGTAATATTTACAGTGATCTGAAAAGAGAGATTCTTGAGCAGCATAGAGGTTACATTGATTATTTATACTTGTGTGTGTATATATATATATATATATATATATATATATGTGTAAATATACAAAGATACATAGCAGCATTTTTGTGTGCAGGCTAGACACATTCAGATGTGTTCTTAGATACATTTAGTCATTTCATTTAAATGGAAAACGCTGGCGAAATTTACTTAAAGTTGGGTTGGAAAATATCTTTATGTTTTTCCCTACTGATGTAATTCAGGAGGTAATCCACCCAGTGAATTGTAATGTTAAATAAACGGGTTAAATATTGTACACTTGATTGCTTGTTTATAAGTCTAATTTTGGGGTCAGCCATGCGGTGATTTTTAAAGTGCTGCAATAAGTGTGGGTGAGTTTGTACATCCAAGTTTCCCTTTATTTGTTTATCACTTGCGACAAATTGAATTCTATCGAAGCATCCTTTTTTTTTTTTTTTTTTTGTATTCTTCTCATACAATACTAAAGTGACCAACATCACAAGCCTCCAGAGATGATCAACAAACATAACGTCAGCCAGCTTAGTTATTGTGACCGTCGTTCATCTCCTGGGATGGTTAACACTTGCAATACGAGTACTGGAAATGTCTGCTCCAGTAGTTGCTTTACGTTAGCCGGTCCAGCTTGTTTTAGGACTGAATGAAATAGCATGGAGTTTCTGAATAAGGGGTTCTCATTAGCTGGCTAAGTGACTGAGCCGTTTGCTGGCACTCTGAGTTTCGGTGCTTCGTTTCATGGACTGCCTCGTTCCTTTCAGGAGTTTAGTTATAAACGGAGATAAATGGCTAGCTGTTCTACATAGATAAACCGAACCATGAAAGGCTTAAAGTAACACCATAACGAATGCTGTAATGTAAACGTTTTTTTAGCATTGGCGAGGCCATACAATCATAACATTGCCGCAAATTCCAGGAAGAAAATGTTAAACTTCCAACCATCTGGTCTTTAGAAAAGTATAAATCTTCATCATTTGTGACCAGGTTATACATCCAAATAAAATTGTAGTGTACTGATACGTTTATACATGGAAACTTTAACTTGTGAATTTTGAAGAAGACCACAACACACACATTTATATATATATATTAGGTTGAAAGCGAAAGTGTGGAGGCTCAGGATATTCACCAGTAAGTATTTATCCCCCCCCCCTACCCCCCCCCCATTTTTTTTTTAAGAAGTTAAATACGACAGGTTTGTACGGACGACACTAGACACCGAGTGTTCCCCGAATAAAGATGGTCAGCTGTATTCTTCCCTATAATTGTGAGTTTGATCCAGTGGTGTTCAGATAAACACTAACTTCCCTTTTCCCAAACTACGCCAGAAACGGACACGCCAGCCTTATACAATAAAGTTATTATGGTACTGAAAGCCAGTAAATAAAGAACTCGTGTTCCCGTCTACAGGATAAATACTGTTAGCCCATATGATAGTCGAGAGGGGTCAATAGAGAGGAAACACTGGAGAAGGAGCAGTCAGTCTTACAAACTGCCGTCCCAGATCCCACAAAAATCCAAACATCGCTGAAAATTAGGGACAAACAACTGTTTACGTTTCTGAATGACTAGAGTCCTCTTGTAGACTGACTGCTTGTAAATAGACAACACAGAAAACCGAAACCGTAGCCTTTTCCAAAACTGCTTGTGTGCTTTCCAGTTGCTCTTTAATCACACAAAGGACGTTTTCGGAAACTACATAAAGGTGCTGGAGAGTCTCCATGGCGGAGCGGTTAGACGCTCGCCGCGGATCGGAAGGTCGTGGGTTCGCTCCCTGGAGGAGTCAGACTTTTTTTTTTCAAAAATGACCTTGGCTCCCAGCAGGTTGACCCAGCCTTGAGTGGGTACCGGGTACCGCGTGCAGTCACAGGAAGTAGAGGTGGCCGGCGTGATTCTGACCACATTACCCATCTTGTGCCGATGGTCTATAAAAATATAGGTCTAGCCCTATATGCACTATACGCCTAAAGGCGTGGAAAAGGGTCATTTACTTCACTTACATGAAGGTGCTGAGTGACCATTATTACATTTGGCCATGTACTTGGCAAACTTGGTAACACACTATTAAACTACACTTCTAAAACATCATTCTATGTGTCTATGTTAAGGATATGGGCGTGCCGACTTTGGCATCGGTGTTCGCAGGATTTCCGGGAAATAGAGCAACCCTCTAGGTTTCGGTATTCTTGTATCATACCGATCCGACTCCACAGAAAATTTACTGGGACTCAGATCTTTTACACACATAAACAAAAACAAAAAACCTCCACCTCAAATGGGATTCGAAATAATGACCATCAGGCGAGGAGATACGCGTACTAGCATCTACGATGTCTCGGAGTTTACATTTTTTTTTAAATTCCATACCATCTCGGGGACTGTTATTAGAGTAATAGGATGTGAAATGAACACCGTCTAACAATAACCCGACCCTCCCCCCCCCCCCCAACTCACCCGCTTTCTACATAATATTGGACTCTCCCGGGAACTCCCAAAGAAATATCGTAGCCCTATAGATAGGGTCAAAACGTCTCTGCTCCTGAACAAGCTCACCAATATTACGTCTGAAAACCAGAAACTTGAAAATAACATAGTTTTTAAAGTTTCATTGTGGGTGATTATCTTGCCACGTAAACTGGACAAACTAACAGGTTCAGAAAACATTCCAGTAGAGCGATAGAAACATTGAGGTGACTCAAAATAGACGAAGTAATGACACAATTTAACCAGAAGACACGGAACACAAATCAGTGGCGACAAACTGGGTCAAGGACAATGCTTCTTTCTAGAACAAGGATTTTATGGTAGTTGAAGAAATGCAGTCAATCCTCTTTTAGTCACACACGAAAATTGATCGGAAATGTATGTTCACATAGATTTAGACATAAAATACGTCATGTCAGGCGAAGAAGCTGACTTCTGATTTCTAGAAAATTGCATTTGATGAATGTTTAATATACAATTGTGGAGGGAAAATGTAACAAAAATAAACAAGACATTTATCTTGGCCTGGGCTTTTTATATAGAAGTATTTGATCAACATAAGCGTGTAGGCATATGCCAGACAAAGCGGATTTAAATATAGGTAGACAGCAATACTATTTGGCCTCTTAAATACTATACAAGAAGATAAATTAAACGAATTAATCTAACTAGGATTGTTTAAATGTAACGTATAATAGGAAAACACGGCCTCGCAAAGATGCACAACAGCCACTCTTTGAATACTGTCACAAACATTTGCTGATAAATTAAATTAATTTTACCCAACTCTTTATTGCATTAGAGACTGTTTAAACACTGCCTGTCTTTAAAGAATCAGCTCAGAAAATGGGACAAGTTATCAATTAAGATAAGGCAGAATACATGATAATAACTAGACAGGGAAAGAATATAAATATCGACCACATTCAAGTCGATACTATGAAAATCAAAGGAACGAAAACATTGCAAACCTCAACTGCCCCAACATGCTGAGATAAAAAATACAATCATGAATACAATCTGGAAAAAAAAGTATACTATGCCCTTGAATATCTGCTTAAGTCAAAGTGTCTGTCTCGCAACAACAAGATCAAAACATATAAAACGTTGATTAGACCTGTGGAGTTTTATGGCTCTGAAACTTGGAGCACAACTAAAAGAGATGAAGCTTTATTACAGGTTTTCGAAAACAGAGTCTTACGACGAATCTTTGGACCAATCAAAGATGCAAACAACGGTGAATGGAGAGTGAGAAGCAACAACGAAATTATAATTCTGTTTAAATTATCACTGATCACTGGCATCATTATAGACTCAAATGTTTGGGACATATTGAAATAATGTCAGATGACAGAGAAGAAAAAACTGTATACACCAGGGAGATGAATGGTCGTAGACCATGAGGCAGACCAAGAAGACCATGGAGAGGTAATATCCAGACAGACCTGCAAATACTTGGTGTCACTAACTGGAAAGAGTGGGCTAACTAGAGAGATGAATGGAGGTGGGTGATGTCTGCAGCAATGAACCTCAAGGGCTCGGAATGCTGAAGAAGAAAAAGAAGAACTGTTTATTGCACTCCAAGAACCCTTGTAATAGCCGCAGCCGTAAACCAAAATCCGAAATCGAGCCCATGCCTTCAGAGCGCAATGCACACGACTTAATTACTCCAGTAAGCAGTCTTATCAGCACAGAACACAAGGTTACACCGGTATTCTGCAGCCTCTACTAGTTCCCCAATAACAACTTCTTTGGAGGTTGAACATGTTTTCTGGTCTACCTTCCAGATTCAGATTTTATATCTAAGGGTGTCAGACTTTCAGTCAGAGGCCCGGAGTGGAAAAACTTCAAGCACTCACGCACTCACGCATGCACTAATTACTTCAATGTGAATACTTCCAGACGACTGGGGAAAAATACACAAGTGTAAAATGACAAGCCTGAGTACTGCTTACATAGAAAAATGTTATGCATTATAATATATAAAGGTGAGTTCTACTTACACAGCACTGCTCCCAGGTACCACCTCTCCTTTGAGTAAAACTCCAGCAATGCTGTAGGTTGGCACACCAGCAACACCAGGAGATCGGCCACGCTCAAGTTCACCAAGTACAGGTTAATGCTGGTGCGCATATCCTTCACTTTAGCCACCACGACTATCACCAGGATGTTGCCAATGACGCCGACTAAAAAGATGGCTACATTAAAGATTGTAACGTAGATGGTGACGTAGAGAGGTACATGCGGGACGTCCTGCGCTTGTGGCTCGGCAGTCACCGAAATGTTGTCATTCACTGACCAAATGTCAACATTAGTAAAATTTATTTGATGGGTTGGAAGAGCCATGTCATTATTCTGTGCCATTTGAATTGTATATTCTTGTATAACCACAGGTCGTCTGAATTTACATTTATGTTCTGTCTACCATCTAATCTCTATTGTCTTTTGTTGTCTATGAAACGGATGATCAGTGAGCCCCACCAATATATGTGGTCTCTGAAAAACACAAACATTATCTGCTTATCTTCAAGAACAATACGAGGAACAATAATTAAATAACTACAAGTAAAATAACAACAACAACAACAACAACAAAAACTGTATTTGTCGTCGGCGTCTGTATCTTGGTGGTTGTGAAGGCACTTTTACGATTCCGACATCCTAGAATTCGACGTCAGCTAAAGGCGATGTGCTAGTAAACCACAGTGGTTGGGGAAGGGGGGGGGGGGGGGGGGAGAGATAAGAACACAACAACCTATAAGTATTGTTGTGGATCAGTGGTTAGCATGCCTGTCTGATGGCTGGCGCGGTTGTATTAGGCACGAATCCTCTTCCAAGAGGATCATTCAAATTAATCCAGATGTCCTGCTTTAAAAAAAAAAATGTGTCATAACTTTTCTGGAAGGTAATGGCTGCCACAATTATGTTCACTACATTACAGAGTACGGAGTGATCTATACAGATACCGATCTAGTACTATACTTCTGAACGCATGAAGAGGTTGATATGATTTCTATACTTTTTAAAATGACGTTGTTAAACTGCTAATGTTAACATTTAAATTATTTCTAAATACAGTATTTTGTTAATACATTTCTGTTGTACGTGTTTATATATATATTTGTGTGTGTATGTGTATATATATATATATATATATATATATATATATATATATGTGTGTGTGTGTGTGTGTGTGTGTGTGTGTGTGTGCACTACAGGCTTCTGGTCAAAATGGCGAGGCAAACATCCCGTGTCCCTAATGTTTTCCCTTCTAAGAGATTTTGTTTAAAAATGAGATAAATATGTGTGCTTACATGTGGGGAAATGTAATAAATCCATGTTCTAACATGTAGGAAATGTGAATATTATGTTCGTGCGGATGAGTGTTTAGGTAAACATGAATCTACGACACGTTTTGGCAAACCAATGGAAGATTTAACTACTTACACGGTGATGCCCAAGAAAAAGTTAGAAGATCTGAGACTGCGAAGTTTAACAAACACAACCGGTATGTTTGTTTGTTTTAGTATCCAAAAGCCATGAGTTGTTAACCCTTAGGCTCGGTATTATGGATATCGCAACCTTTCGGCCTTAATTCCATTGTAAATACCGTAAATCTGGGAGAAAATGTGGCTTTTCTGCCTACCCCCGGGAGTGAACCCGGACCACAACGAGTTCTTCACCCGCTCACCGCGCAATCCGGTTTAGCTAACTACGCTAGAGAGACGGGCAACAAAGCCGGTATAGAGTAGGGATGTTAAATATATGTCACTGGAGCAACAAAACAGAGGAGACTATAAACTGATGGAAAAATACCAAGTGATTATTTTACATTTGGCAGAGTTAAAACTGAAGGACAGTAAGGTTACACACAGATTTTGTATGCAAAACATGGTATAGGTTTCATCATTGACTTTATGATTGAAAGTAACATTTTAGACACCAGTTACGTATCAGAAAGAATTGTCGATGAACTGAGCGATGTCATTTCTAAAACTGAGCCAACAGATAAACTTTTTGTAATGGGAGAGTTTATTTGCAAATGTCGTGAAATGATAGCCATTACGCATCGGTCTGTAAGGCTGATAACCTGTCTTACCTGTAATCTGCACAAAATTCAAACTTGGACTCGCCCAGAAATATATAGTCCCTTATATCTATATATATAGGCCTGTATTGGACAACATTATTATGTCTACATTTTCTGGTTACTTTAACTAAACTCCACTTTTAAATGTATATCTCTTAGAGATATATTTAGGGAGTTATTTGAGGTTTCTTGGAAACCGATTTACTCCTTGCCCCAGTATACAGGGAACTTCTTTTGTACCAACGCCTGAAGTGTCTAAGCGACGCTATTCTCCTTGCCAGCTTCTCAAGCATCCAGATGTGTTAGTCTGTGCCTGTACAACTTTCACTTTACAAGGCAATCTGGAAATGTCTCAGTTTTTACATATGCTTGGGATGTATATTTTCTGAAGAGCTGGCAGAAGATTCACAGTCTCACCAACATCCACCAACTATCCAACCACCAGAACCAACTTGTTACCCACCAGCTAACACCTGTGAAGGTTCCTGACATCTCCAACCCATGGGAGATGGTGCCTCAAACAGCTACCAGTACTAGAGCTTAATGTGGCTCAAAGACATTGTGTGTCCTTACTGGTGATAGAGACTTGCTAAATACCGGTACAGTTGCTGTATAGTGAAGTACTCTTACTACTTGATCCAGTGGAGCAGAATTCCCAGAGTCAAAGACAGTCAAATCATCCGGAGCTGAGGGAGGCATCATAGACAGAGAGAAGAGAAGATAAGTCTAATGCTTCGCATGATGTTGTGTTCCTCACAGCTCCCTGTGTCCAGTGATGAAAAGATGTCATCTCCAAGGCCTTCTGTCTGTGTAGATCCTAGTGATTTGGACATGATATCCTGAGATCTGGCAATTGTCTCACTTTTATATATCTAATTTATATTGATTACATACATTCATTTTCATGGCTGACTTAGGTGTCTCTATTTCACCTTTTTAAGTGTTTAGCAGTTGTGTATGTATGTGTATCTTCATTATATGTGTTAACATGGTTATGATAATGAACTATCATAACCTGGGGGCTTTCTTTAGTAAGTAGTGGGGGTGTCCAGCCAAGTGTGCCTAGAAATATTATATATATATACTGACATATTTTGTAGTGCCAATACTTGAGTTGCCCTACTCCAGAGATAAGTTGATCGTATATTGGCCACGGGGAATCCCTTAGACCAATACGAGCCAAACGACTCAACATAATTATCTCTGAGTGCTGCTGGTTCTGAAGGAGAAATCCTTACATTAGGCACGCGACAGGAGTGATATGTGACAGAACAACATATCCCCAAAAATCTGTGGTCTCGTCTTGGGATTGTTTTGTACACTGTTCAATCTTTAAATTTGCTGGTGATCTTGGCCAGGAGTTGTTCAGTGTTTGTTTTTTGTTAACACAGTTGTGACCATTCTGGGTCAGTTCTTAGAGTATACTCCTAGGAGTGATTTTTAATCATTGTGGTGTTTTGTGGTGTCTAAGTACATTGGGTTAGGTACAACCTTGGTTGGTGGAGATAATTTAATCTATTGTTGATTATATTTACATTGTTGGTGACAATATATTTTGTTGTGGACTGTTAGATTGACAAGACAGCATGTCCAGCCAAGTGTGCCTAGAAATATTATATATATATACTGACATATTTTGTAGTGCCAATACTTGAGTTGCCCTACTCCAGAGATAAGTTGATCGTATATTGGCCACGGGGAATCCCTTAGACCAATACGAGCCAAACGACTCAACATAATTATCTCTGAGTGCTGCTGGTTCTGAAGGAGAAATCCTTACATTAGGCACGCGACAGGAGTGATATGTGACAGCAAAGCAGAATACAACAGGAGAGTGTTCTCAAGTTTTCTAAGAAACTATGGAGATAACAACAGCGAGATAAACGGAGATGGAGAAAGACTAATAGGCCACAATGCGGATGAGGATCACCCGTGGAGAGGTCCGGAAACCCCATTCAGCCGTTAGACCATATTTCAGGCCCGGCTATACTTAGGGCCTCTGGCAAAAGCTAGGGTGAGGATTCAAAATAACTAACAATTGTATCCCACTAGGGAATTAAGAGATATAATTATCTATACAGACCATGAGATGGTGATCGCAGATATACAAGTCAAAGTAAAAACACATACTGGGAAGAAGAATTGTAATACTAAAATTATAAAATAGCAAGAATAAGACGACAATAGAGAAATGAGAAAAATCTTATCAAGAAATATTACAATATAAGTATGAAGCACTTCAAGAAAATGCACTTGACGTGAAGGAGGAATGGATTAAATTTAGAGATTCTCTCTAGATTGTAGCACAAGAAATTTGCGGAACTAGAAATCAAGGGAAGACAGGATGTAAAATATCAACATGGTGGATTAAAGAAATAAAGGAAATGGTGGAAAACATAACGAAAGCTTAATGTGTCTTGTTAAAACACAGAACAGAAGAAAAATACACAAGGTATAGGCAAGCCATGAAAAGAAGAAAATAGAGCAATAAGAACAGCAAAGAAAGATTCATGGGGTGAAGTTTGTAGAAATATTAGCAGCAGAAGAAAAAGCAGCCATAAGAAACTACTACTCAAAGAAAGATTGATAAGACAAAGCAATGAAGATTATAATCCAACAGAAATACTAAATAATGAAAAAGGACAACCTATTCTAGGCCCAAAAATCATTCTAGAGAGATGGAATAACTATTTTAAAGTACTACTAAACTTCAAGAATAAATGTGACAATACAAACACAAATACTGTGACAAACACAGCAGAAGAGACGGATATATTAGAATATGTAACAGAGATGACAGCACAAAGCGACTGGTGCTGATGATCTTTCTGCATAAGCCATCAAAGCAGCTGGAGAAACAGGAGCAAAATGGGTCATAGTAATTTTCCAAACTACCTAGCTAGAACAAGAATCACCAGATGACTGGCAAACAGCAATATTTATACAGATAGGAGCAAAGAAAGGGAGTAAGAAAGAGTGCACTAATTACAGAGGAAAATCGCTATCGAGTCATACAGGGAAAATGTATTTCAAATTATTTGAAAGAAGATAAAACTATTAGTAGAAGAACAACTTTCAGAAGTCTACACTGGTTTTAGACGTAACAGAAGCTGCACGACACAATATTTACATTAAACCAGTTGGCAGAAAGAGCAATAGAGTATGAGAAGACATACACAGTCGCATTTATATACCAGGAAAAGGCATTCGACAGAGTGGATAGGAATATGTTGTGGAATTGCTTAAGAAGACATGGAATCAGCAAACACTTACCTAAAGTGTGTAAGAGCTTATTTATAATTATATATAAAGTCAAAATTGCAGACGAACAAAAGCAGGTACATCGCAACCTTTTGAAGTAAATTCCGGAGTAAGGCAGGGCTGTGCGCCATCTCCCCGGCTTTTCATCGCATACATCGACAATATATGCAAAAAAGTAGAGAGCGAAGAAAAGAATAATATCTCAGAATTGTTTTTTGCAGGTGACCAAGTAACAATAGCTGAAACAGAAGAGAGTTTACAGAACCATATAAACCAAGTCAATACTAAGTGTGAGAAATATGACATGAAATAAGCATTGGTAGGACAGAGGCAATTGTAAAAGGCAGACAAGAAGAAGCCATATCAATGAAAGTAAAAAAAAAAAAAAAAAACAAAGCACAGAATAAAACAAACGAGCGAACTTTGAATGTCTAGGATAATTTGTTCACCTCAGATGAAAAAATGCACCGACAAAAAAAGTGTAAAGTTCCCTTTTCACATCTTAGGCGCATCGGGCATATGGAAAGAGCACACTTATTTGTATAGACCACTCGGCACTAGTGGGTAATGTGGTCAGCATTACGCCGGCCATCTTTACTTCCCCAGGATAGCCCATCTTAGTACCCATTTTAGGCTTGGTCGACCTGCGACGCCCCATATCATGATAAAAGTCCAGGCAGCCAGCAGCGGGTTTCGATCGGGGTACGTTGGAATTACAAGTCAGACTCGCAATGTCTAAGCCACGCACGCCGCAGATGGAAGAATGGATAGAGAAATAAACAGGATGTGCGAAAGCAAATCAGGCTATGGGACAATTATCAAAGCTTCTGACGAATAAAATAATACCTCTGTCAATCAAAGCAAATCTCATAAGAACGTTATTTGTTTGGTTTTTTGGCCGACATTGTGCTATCAGTGCTAAACATAGACCCTTACCACAACTAATGAGCTGAAGATCGTAACAACAGAGATGAGATGTCTTAAGAGAGCTTCCGGTGTGACAAGAAGAGATACAATCAAGAATGAAGAAATTAGAAGAAGACAAGGAATTAAACCAGTCATTCAGTCCATTAAAGAACAACAAATGAGATGGTTTAGCCACCTGACGAACATTCCCTGGCACCAACTGCCACAGAGAGCCACGCTGAAGAGATTTAATGAACACAGACCAGAGAGAAGACCACGCAAGAGATGAAGCGACGTCATCAGGAGAAACCCAACAGAAATTAACGCTAACTTGTACAATGCATTGGAAACAAGCGCAGAAAGATCTGTATATCTTCCCCAAACACATCGGTGAGGTAATATCTGGAAGACAAGAAGCAGAAGAATATGCTTGTGTGTGTGCGCGTTTATATCCATAAAACAAAACATAACAAATTTAACAATCGCGAGTAATTCAAAATCGTGATCCTAACTGTTTTGTCGACGAGTGTACAGTTTGAAATGGGACCCGTGTTCGATGCTTAGTGTCACTTTTTTTCTGAATTATTTGTGTGTGTGTGTGTGTGTGTGTGTGTATGTGTGGGTGTGTATGTGTGTGCTAAATGAAGTTAGAAAATTACAAGTAATAAATTAGGCCAGTATTATATTATGAAGTATCATATATTATTATATACTGTGTGATAGTCGTTAGTGTACATTCTTGCAAAGACTGTAGTCTGGATTCAACTCCCATTAAGATTCTGTGGTCTATCCATTCTCTTTGATAAACAGACTAGAATGCCACACACTTCCGAATTTTCTAAGAATTCAGTGGCAGGGGGATAAGAAGTGTACAATTAGTGCATTACTGTCAGCAAATTAGTCATAGATTCGAATGCTGACGATGCAAAATTTGAAACAAACATAGCTGATCTGGACTTTCACGTCTGCCTGGCTAAAATGGGTACATATATATGTCCTGGAAATTAAAGATAGTTGGAGAGATCCTGACCGCATCCTCTATGGAGTTCTGAAAAGTTTTTAAAAACTAAAATATGTGGCTAAGACAGCTGTACGATACATATCAAAGCAGAGAGTTTGCACATAAACCTGATTTTATAATGAATATCGTGGTTTCTCAATGTAAACCCTCTTTGTCTGCCCAAGGATTAACTGCAATGTGCCAGTTTACAGCGGTATTTACATCTCTCGGTCGACACATCCGTCTTCTTCGTGCATTTGTTGTCCGGGTTAGCCTCACTGGTAATCAATTACTAGAACTGAGTTGCCCCCCCCCCCCCCCCCCCCCCCACCCATCCCCCCCCCTTCTACTCTACTCAGCAATATTAAAAAATGTGTGTCTTTTAAATTATTTCTAAGTTTGTGTTTTAGAAAGTTTTTGGTTTTGTAATTTGTATTAGAGTACGGTTCTTTGCGCACACAGCGGACACATCTTCTAGAAATAATAGTTCATTACAGATTCTAGTTTTTTGGAATAGCTCTTCCTATCATCTCGTCCCCGTTAATGGAATGCTGATCAATAGGACATAAAACAAGCATCCCGAGCAAATCAGATGTGCTCGATCCTAATTGTCTTTTAAATTGACTGCATGAAAAGACTTGCTAGCAATAGGGTGTTAAGCAATGCAGTTTTTAAAAATACATCGCAAATTTACTACCTTATAGCGAACAAGAGGAACATTTTCCTCTTGTTTGCTATAAGGTAGTAAATTTGCGATGTATTTTTAAAAACTGCATTGCTCAACACCGTATTGCTGAACAGGACAAACTAGAGGGTGGCTAGGATTGGCAAAGGGTGGTGTGATCTTGTGCCACGGCACAGCTACAGAAGCCACGAAGGCCAGACTGGGTCAACCTAAAAAGTCCTTTCCAGCGTAGCTCCAGTGAAGTTGCGACAGGCCTAGCAAGCTGTCAGGGATTAGTTATCGGTACCTAAAATACAGTGAAATATAAATTGACTGATCAAACGACACTTGCCTATAACATTATTATAGGACTTTTTTAGTTAGTTGCGTATCATTTACAGGACATTTGCAGAACCAGCCCCAGCATTGTTTGGTTGTTGTGGTTTTTCTAAGCAAATTTACGTCCTGTTGTTTGCCATTACTTCCTGGACGGTCGGCTTCTTAATATCACTGTCGAAACCAATACAAGACGCAAGGTACGCAGCTGGGATCTAACCAGGCACCACAGCATTACGAAGCGCGTTCGCAACGCCTAAGCTACAGAAGCCAACTATTATAGGGCTAGGAGACAGAAAAATGAATTACAAGATTGCAGCTAGAACCAGATATTCTAACTGATGAAGTTAAAAAAGTCATTAATCAGTCTTCCAAATATCAAGCACCAGGAGCTGATAGATTCCAACACAACTAATCTAAGCGGCAGGATAAAGCAACATCAGATGGTTTCACAGAATCTTTAATGCAGCGTGTGTAAAAAAAAAAAAAAAAAAGAACTGCTTCTATTGACCGGCATCGAGTAGTAGTTATACTGTATGGAAGAACAAAGAAACCTTGCGAGAATACAGTCAACAGAGAGACATTCCACTTTCAAGACATGATGGAAAAATGTATGGCAAGATAATAGAAACAAGGGTGAATCCAGTGATAGAACTACAATTAGCAAAAAGAACACGTGGGATTTAGGAGATATAGAAGCTGCACAGACGCAATCTCCACACTAAACAGTTTATAGAATAGAACTTCGAAAATGAAAACAATATCAGAAGAAAGCAATCGACTGAGTCGTTAGGCAAGTATTATGTAGGGTAATGGCTGGATATGTAGTGAGCCAACATCTTAACATAGTGTGCAAAAGTTTATATAGGAATGGTAGAACCGTAGTTAGAATAAATCCGGGAACATCTAAACAATTCACAATAAAATCTGCAGTAACACAGGAGTGTGGCCTATCACCACTGCTGTTTATCACAAACGTTGATAGAATATGCAAGAATGCCAAGCTTAACAGCGAAAGTATAAGTAACATCAACGAATTATTTTTTGCTACTGACCATGTCTTGACAGCAGATACTGCCATGAAATTGAAACAGCGTCTCACAAACATAAACTAAGAATGTTATACAAATAATATGAGAATCAACGATGAAAAGACAGAATTATTGTAACTAGGACAAAAGAAGCAGAACTTAAATATAGCAGTAGAGTCCAAAGGCTTTAAACAAACCTCTGATTTTCAATATTTGGGTATAACATTTACTAAAGATGGTAAATTAGATCAAGAAATGAAAATCCGATGCAATAAAGCAAACCAAGTATTGGGACATTAGCTTCTTTTTACAACACACGACAATCCCAATCAGCACAATGAAACATCTCATATAAATCACATTCATTCCAACACTATGATATCAGCGCCAGACGTGGTCACTCACAACAAGCCATAAAAGAAATATTAGTAACCATGGTAATAACATGTCTGAGAAGGGCTACAGCAGTAACCAGGAAAGATACAATCAGGAGTAAGGTCATCAGATAAAAAGTCGGCATAGAACCAGTTCTAAATTACACACAAAGACAGCAAATCAAATTGTTTGTCTACCCACCGAGAGAGAATGTCTTGTGACGCCATACCATACAAAGCATACAGTAAAAGAGATTGACGAAGATCACAAGGTAGACCCTGAATCATATGGAAAGAAAACAACATAGAAACTCTACAACAAACAGAGATTTTGATATCTTCCTAGACACCCGAAGTGGTTAAAAAAAAAAAAAAAGGATGTAAAGAAGACGTAGGGTATACAATGACTTGGAGACTCAAAGCTAGGAAATCATCATCATCATGTAGCAGGTACTTTGCAGAACGTCGCTCTCATCACCGTCTGCCTGAAAGAAGCTCGGTCTCTCCCAGCTCTCCCGCCTCATGTACTTTCATACTCAAGGAGTCACTTATGTCCTTTTATCATCTTCGTGTCGGTCGACCCCTGCCCCTCCTTCCTGTTACCATGCTTTCTGCTACAATTTTCCCAATCCGTCGTGGCGCTTGATATGAAAAAAATATATTTCAGCTTCAGAGACAAGATGCTGTTTATTGGCCAATCTTCCTTGATGTTCAGATCTTTCAAGATGTCAATATTTCTCCCTATCTTTGTTCAAGCCATTTTGAGAATATTTCTATAGCATTTCAACTCAAAAGCCCCTATTCTCTGTCTTAAGGACTGAGAGATAGTCCACGACTCACATCCGTATGTAGTCACAGGGAAGCAAGGAAATACTGGGGTTAATTCCATAGCCTCATGGGAGTCTAAAAGTTCGGCACCCCCCAAAAAAAAAAAAAAACTTGATGTATGCAACAAGCAAGAATTCTTTTTCTAACTCTCAGTGACAAGGATATATAGCACAAGATGTTCTTCATGTTATAAAATGCAGTTTTTGCTTGTCCTATTCTGTTTCTTATCTCAGTTATGCATCTACTATCTGATGTTTTCCATGTGCCCAGATACCTAAATTTCTGTACTTTTCCCAAAATAACACCATCGACTTTTATTACACATTTAGGAATAATTCGTTTCTTTGATCATTTCATTACTTCCGTCTTCCAATTATTCAAAATGAGGCCCATTCTTCTACCTTCTAACACTACAATGTCTATCTTTTCCTGTAGTTCTTTCTGACTTATTGCTATCAAGACTGTGCCACAAGCATAAAGTAAATTGTTTATATTGTGCCCACCAACCACAATTCCGGGCATATCAATAAAAGATCTCATTATATATTTGCTGTATATTGAAAACAAATCAGGTGACAGTACACATCCTTGTGGCAATACAAGGTCAAAAAATACTAAGTTATTCGCAACAACCAACAATATTTTTCACAGGGCTCAGTCTTCTAAGTTTCACGTGGCTAGGCTACACTTAGAGGATAGAGAATGGTAGAGTCCTTAACGCATCCTCTGTTGTGAATTACAGATGGGTTGAAGATACCGAGGCTAGCCTTTACTACGATACAATATATGCAAGCGATGCATGAATGCTACAGATTTTGATGTATTTAAATAGCAAAATATTGTATAGACCGCATTGTGGGGGAGGGAAACATCAAGCTGGGAATGGAAATAACTAGAAACTTGAGTGCAGATAGGTTGAGAGCTGAGCAACTGAGAAGAAACATACTAAATGCATGACATGGCAAAAAAAGTCCTGAAATCCGAGGTTATAATTTTGGCCGACTTTTCTCAACGCAAGCGGGCCATGCTAGTCACACTTGACTTAGCAACGGGACATAATTTCCAGGCATCCATAGGGTATAATATTTCACTGCTGTTAGAAAGGACAGAAAGAAAAGTGCCAAAAACATTGAACTGACATCACGTGATTCATGCAGAGATAAAGAACGTATATGTATGCATATCAGACCATCTCATCGATTGAAGGGTTACACTTATCGCTCGTGCATATTTGCGAAGTGAATAGATGGATGGGGGTAAATCTTCTACTAGAAGAAAGAGTTTGAATGAAGCATTGATGTCGAGGTAGTCTGAGCCAAAAAAAAAAAATTTGTTTGTATTTATCGGAATTATGTTTTGCTGGGAACTTTCCGCTCGTCTTTATATTAAAGTAACATTACAAAGAATGTGTTGCAGATGTATTTGCCTCTCCTCCTTTTGCTGATGATATATATATCATCAGCGCCTGTGGCGCAGTGTAGCGGCTAGATGCTCGCCTGTGGATCGGAAGGTCGTGGGTTCGGGTACTGACGGAACCGGGCGTTCTTCAAAAATAACATTGGCTCACAGTTCGACCTAGCCGTCTTTATCTTTTGATTGGCATCTTTCCGTCTTTCCAGACGATAGTGTTATATAGGACTCACAGCCCATGGCGATGGCGAGTGTGACTAGCAAGACCCGCCCGTATCAAAATAGATCTTTCACAATGATAGCAGGGGATTTCAGGACCATTGTTGTCAATATTTGTGTTTAATCCGTTTCTTTTCAGACGCTCAGCGCTCATCCTTTCTGCAGTCATTTTTTCCTTCACTCTCATTCTTTTCCTGATACACCCTTTACATACACCCTTTACACACTACACGTCCATGGCATTTTGTTCTACTGAGTTCACCTCAATGCATGTATCATTTATGTCCCGCTTGCACACATCTTTATACCGTTGCAGAGGTCGGCCTCGACATCGTCTACCTGCCTTTAATTCACCCTAAAGGATGTCCTTAGAGACTCTACCATCATTCAATCTCCAGGTGTGACCTAGCCACCTGACCCTTCGTAGACTGCGCATGGAAAATACTGTTGTAGTACCTTCTCTTTTAAGTACCTCAGTGTTTGTGATTGTGTCCTGCCACCTAATGCCAAGTATTCTTGTTAGTAATTTAGTAATTGCATGTGAAAGCTATTTAGCCATCTCTCCTGGTGAAAATAGGTTGACCACGTTTCACTGCCTTAAAGCAGAGTGCTGAGAACACAAGCCTGATAGACAAGGGTTTTTGTTTAAATTGTAAGCTGTCTGTTCTCCCAAACTCTCTTTGTCAATCTGCTCATTGTTGTTGCTGCCTTATCTA